GGACTGACCCTAAGCAATCATTGCAAATAGCAACTTTGCTATCCATTTTAGACACTAAAAGAAAAAACACTCACAGACCTTACTAGCATCACATGTGCATAACTCAAGTGTCATCTTATCAATGTGTTATGTGATCTTCAATGGGTTTTTTTTCTTCTATTTCTGGAGATACAGACATTTAATTTAAAGTCTTGATGTTGCATCTGTCTACATACTGTTAATTACTAACCCTAATGAGCTGTTGTGTTTTATTTTGGACTGGGTTTACACAAATGCTCACTGAATGTGTTGGCAATAAAAGAAATTTTAAAAAATAAGTTGGATGTACTTAATTCATTTGTGTGGAACCTGTTGACAAAATAGATTTATGTAAAACTAATTAATAAAGCACAAGGTGGCTGAAAATATAATATTTGAATTAATCTAACTTAAATTTAACATTTTACTGCCACAAATAAGAAATGTGTTGAAGTAACTAATCTAAACTATCTAACCTGAAAATATATCATCTATGTTCATACAACATAACTTGATTTAGTTAGTCTTAAATATGTCTTGTTAATCTTAAGTAGTTTTTTTAAATTAGATGAACTAAAGATTTTTGCTTTAAACTAACATAATTCAATTTCGTGGAACCTGTTGACAAAATAATTTTAATTAAAGTCAACGTTTCATTTTTTTGAGTGCAAGCACTCGGTCAAGCTGACTTTCTTGAGGTACTGAGGGCAGTTTGAGTGCATTACAGCAGACTGATCTTCTCTGTTATCTTTCCAGTGTGAGTGCACAAAAGGATCTCACAGATGAACATGTGGTCCCTGACACTCCAGCCACCTCTTCTGCACCCGTCTCACCTCCAGCTGAGGTTCAGAGGGACAAATCAAAGAAGGCTTCCTGGTGGCGCAGATGGATTTTTTGTAAGGTGAGTTTACCACTGCAGAGAATAAGCTCTGAACAAACAAATGGTGCAGGAATTTCTGCATCTATTTGTGTTTAACTGGATTTATTTGTAAGTGGCAAATCTGAAGTATGAGGTCATTTTACTGTGTTCCTGTTTAAAGCTGATTCATTGCTTTGTGTTTCTTCTCCTGTAATTTCATCACTGTGATTGCACTGTTTGTGTCTTTCTATAATGGTAACATCAGCACTGAAAAATGTGAAGTCAAGGACGTTGGTGTCCAGATGGAAGTTTCCTGCCCCCCCAAATTGCTGCTGTTTTTCTGCACGGTACATTCTACAGAGCCGAGTGTGAAACGTGAACAGCCCTTATGAAGTCTGAATGTTAGGATTGACACTCAAATTCTCATTATGTCGTCCATTTTGGTTGAACTAACTGGTGATGTGTTCCTCAAAGAAAAAGGTGACCTTAGATGATGAGCCGTGTTGGCCTGAAGTCAATGAGAGAGATGAGCCAGTTTCCAGGCCGTCTACCCCAACAGGTTACGGTGGGTAGCCAGGGGGCTATGTTGGAGACAGAGTATGCACAGCAAAAAGACCATTGTTAAATTAGCTCCAACAGAATTATTTTCAACACTTTTTCAGGGTTTATATATTATTTATGGGCAGCACGGTGGTTAGCACTGTTGCCGCACAGCAAGAAGGTCCTGAGTTCAATTCCACCATCAGGCCGGGGTCTTTCTGTGTGGAGTTTGCATGTTCTCCCCGTGTTTGCGTGGGTTCTCTCCGGGTACTCCGGCTTCCTCCCACCGTCCAAAGACATGCAGCTTGTGGGGATAGGTTAATTGGATAATCCAAATTGTCACTAGGTGTGCGAGATGTGATGTGAATGGTTGTCTGTCCCTGTGTGTTGAGCCCTGCGACAGACTGGCGACCTGTCCAGGGTGTACCCCGCCTCTCGCCCTATGACAGCTGGGATAGGCTCCAGCGCCCCCCGCGACCCTGAAAAGGATAAGCAGAAGCGAATGGATGGATGGATATATTATTTATACACTCTTAAGAGTTAAATCAACATTTTTGAAATAGTTATAATATTTAACACCAGGCCAGAGTTCATGTTTTAACATTTTTAACCTTCTGGTTAGTGTTGGCTTCACTCCCTATAGTGTCAGGCTTTCTACACTGAAAAGTGTTAAAATTAAATTCTGAGAAAGAATTGAATTCCACAAAATAAATATTCCCCAAAAGGACATTTATTGTGTCTTCAAACAATTGTGAATGACGGTACAATGTACACTGTCTCATCTGAAACATTGTATGACCTTTGCATGTCAAAAGATTTATAAAACTTTAGATCTGACATTTCACTATGCATCTCTGCTCACATGCTATAGATGGTTATCAAAACACTCTGTAAACAACTGTTTCTCCATAAAAAAAAATTCATCTTCAACCAAAAGTAAATCACTTTTTGGCAAAAGACAGGACGATGTCTTCTTCCCCACTGCAAATAACAGTACTCAGCTTTATATTCACTTGGGACAAGTTAAACACAAAATGTGCTTTGAAAAGTTCATCAAATGCCCCGAGTGAGTGGCTCGCCTGGTGTGTGTCAGTCTTGCTCTTCTTTTGCCTGACAGCGAGGAGGTATGGTTGCCGACCTTGTTGATTGCAGAGATGCTCTTCCAGACTCCAGCATGACTTGGGTTAACATAAGGAAACTAATAATTATTCACAGAAATGGTGTCTAAATACAGAAAAAAAATGCAGAAGAGATTGCTCAAAGACTTTGATATTATTGAAATTTCATGATATAATTACCTTATGAAAGACTACAAGTCTCTGACTTGCATCACTCGCGCTGATTTTTGGAGACCTTTGTCCTCCTGGTGGTGGTGGAAGAAGATGTAGCAACAACAACAGCAATGCCATTTCTTGTTCAAAGGCTGAAGATGAAAAGACACAAAATTAATACCATTTCATCAAATGTTTTGATCTGTTTAACAATGAAAACAGGGGAAAGTTAAGAGACTTCCATCTCTCCCACGTCTATTGTTGAAAGTTATCAAAAAGTAGATGAAATCTTTAGAGATACCGAATCTCTCTCATGGAGGCCCCGGGGCAGACCCAGGACACGCTGGAGAGATTATATCTCTCGGCTGGCCTGGGAACGCCTTGGTATTGCCCCGGACAAGCTGGAGGAGGTGGCTGGGGAGAGGGAGGTCTGGACCTCTTTGCTTAGGCTGCTACCCCCGCGACCCGACCTCGGATAAGCGGATGAAGATGGATGGATGGATGGAAGTTGGATGTACTTAATTCATTTGTGTGGAACCTGTTGACAAAATAGATTTATGTAAAACTAATTAATAAAGCACAAGGTGGCTGAAAATATAATATTTGAATTACTCTAACTTAAATTTAACATTTTACTGCCACAAATAAGAAATGTGTTGAAGTAACTAATCTAAACTATCTAACCTGTAAATATATCATCTATGTTCATACAACATAACTTGATTTAGGTAGTCTTAAATATCTGTTGTTAATCTGAAGTAGTTTTTTAAAATGAGATGAACTAAACATTTTTGCTTTAAACTAACACAATGCAATTTCGTGGAACCTGTTGACAAAATAATTTTAATTAAAGTCAACTTTTCATTTTTTTGAGTGCAAGCACTCGGTCAAGCTGACTTTCTTGAGGCACTGAGGGCAGTTTGAGTGCATTACAGCAGACTGATCTTCTCTGTTATCTTTCCAGTGTGAGTGCACAAAAGGATCTCACAGATGAACATGTGGTCCCTGACACTCCAGCCACCTCTTCTGCACCCGTCTCACCTCCAGCTGAGGTTCAGAGGGACAAATCAAAGAAGGCTTCCTGGTGGCGCAGATGGCTTTTTTGTAAGGTGAGTTTACCACTGCAGAGAATAAGCTCTGAACAAACAAATGGTGCAGGAATTTCTGCATCTATTTGTGTTTAACTGGATTTATTTGTAAGTGGCAAATCTGAAGTATGAGGTCATTTTACTGTGTTCCTGTTTAAAGCTGATTCATTGCTTTGTGTTTCTTCTCCTGTAATTTCATCACTGTGATTGCACTGTTTGTGTCTTTCTATAATGGTAACATCAGCACTGAAAAATGTGAAGTCAAGGACGTTGGTGTCCAGATGGAAGTTTCCTGCCCCCCCAAATTGCTGCTGTTTTTCTGCACGGTACATTCTACAGAGCCGAGTGTGAAACGTGAACAGCCCTTATAGGAACACATGAAGTCTGAATGTTAGGATTGACACTCAAATTCTCATTATGTCGTCCATTTTGGTTGAACTAACTGGTGATGTGTTCCTCAAAGAAAAAGGTGACCTTAGATGATGAGCCGTGTTGGCCTGAAGTCAATGAGAGAGATGAGCCAGTTTCCAGGCCGTCTACCCCAACAGGTTACGGTGGGTAGCCAGGGGGCTATGTTGGAGACAGAGTATGCACAGCAAAAAGACCATTGTTAAATTAGCTCCAACAGAATTATTTTCAACACTTTTTCAGGGTTTATATATTATTTATGGGCAGCACGGTGGCACGGTGGTTAGCACTGTTGCCGCACAGCAAGAAGGTCCTGAGTTCAATTCCACCATCAGGCCGGGGTCTTTCTGTGTGGAGTTTGCATGTTCTCCCCGTGTTTGCGTGGGTTCTCTCCGGGTACTCCGGCTTCCTCCCACCGTCCAAAGACATGCAGTTTGGGGGGATAGGTTAATTGATTAATCCAAATTGTCACTAGGTGTGAATGTGAGAGTGAATGGTTGTCTGTCCCTGTGTGTTGGCCCTGCGACAGACTGGCGACCTGTCCAGGGTGTACCCCGCCTTTCGCCCTATGACAGCTGGGATAGGCTCCAGCGCCCCCCGCGACCCTGAAAAGCAGAAGCGAATGGATGGATGGATATATTATTTATACACTCTTAAGAGTTAAATCAACATTTTTGAAATAGTTATAATATTTAACACCAGGCCAGAGTTCATGTTTTAACATTTTTAACCTTCTGGTTAGTGTTGGCTTCACTCCCTATAGTGTCAGGCTTTCTACACTGAAAAGTGTTAAAATTAAATTCTGAGAAAGAATTGAATTCCACAAAATAAATATTCCCCAAAAGGACATTTATTGTGTCTTCAAACAATTGTGAATGACGGTACAATGTACACTGTCTCATCTGAAACATTGTATGACCTTTGCATGTCAAAAGATTTATAAAACTTTAGATCTGACATATTCACTATGCATCTCTGCTCAGCATGCATAGATGGTTATCAAAACACTCTGTAAACAACCTGTTTCCCATAAAAAAAAAAATTATCTTCAACCAAAAGTAAGTCACTTATTTGGCGAAAGACAGGCGTGTCTTCTTCCACTGCACTGCAAATAACAGGTCCAGCTTTATATTCACTTGGGACAAGTTAAACACAAAATGTGCTTTGAAAAGTTCATCAAATGCCCCGAGTGAGTGGCTCGCCTGGTGTGTGTCAGTCTTGCTCTTCTTTTGCCTGACAGCGAGGAGGTATGGTTGCCGACCTTGTTGATTGCAGAGATGCTCTTCCAGACTCCAGCATGACTGGGGTTGACATAAGGAAACTAATAATTATTCACAGAAATGGTGTCTAAATACAGAAAAAAATGCAGAAGAGATTGCTCAAAGACTTTGATATTATTGAAATTTCATGATATAATTACCTTATGAAAGACTACAAGTCTCTGACTTGCATCACTCGCGCTGATTTTTGGAGACCTTTGTCCTCCTGGTGGTGGTGGAAGAAGATGTAGCAACAACAACAGCAATGCCATTTCTTGTTCAAAGGCTGAAGATGAAAAGACACAAAATTAATACCATTTCATCAAATGTTTTGATCTGTTTAACAATGAAAACAGGGGAAAGTTAAGAGACTTCCATCTCTCCCACGTCTATTGTTGAAAGTTATCAAAAAGTAGATGAAATCTTTAGAGATACCGAAGAAGAAAAAAATCTATAGGATTATTACTTCAGGATCATCATACAAACAAAACGGACAATGCTTTGTGTGACTTTATATTACATTCTAAGATCAAAACTAGAACAACTGGACAAAGATTTACTTTGTTAAAGGGTGTTAAAGTGAGCTTTTCAGCCTCTTTTATGGCATTTGGCCTGAAGAATGTCTTTCATTTCTGAAGCAACCTGGAGGATGTGTCATCAGCGAACAGGAGTGAAGTTTTGCTCCACCTTTAAGAAAGAAAATTGTATTTGAAACAACTGCTAGCTCCAAATTCCAAACATTAAAAAAAAAAGAATTCTAACTTACCATTCCTTTTGTATCCAGGAATCTTGGAAAAGTGGATAGGATACCAACGCTTCTGCTTGGGTCATTAACAAGCCTCCAATAGTGCTGAATGGTCTCTTTAATCTTCTGGAAAATCACAGAGTTGTCTGTAGTATGGTTGAGCAAAGACACGACCTCCTTGCAAGCATCACCATCAAGCTGGTGTATAACATTCAGTCCTTTCGAGATTTGGACCACCTGAAGAACTGTCTGTCAACCTATTAGGTTGTGTTGGAGATCCACAACGAATCTTTCTTTGGACAGTTTTCAGAAACTGAAAGAAATGTATCCTGTGCCACTTGCTGCATCAAAGAAGTGCTCCTGGATAAGTGAAAATACAAACCACCTGCGTCTCATCTGAGGCAATCACCGGAGGACTACTTCAGCCAGCTCTGACGGCTTCTCCTCGCCAGTCCGTAAGTCTCCTCCCAGTGTGACCAGCATTAGACAAAGTGAATCTGTGAACGAAGGTGTAGGTCTATTAGGTTATGTTGTGGTGATCCTCGGGTTGGGGGATGGGTGTTCATACTGGAGTGCAAAATTAAAACCAATGGAGATGGACCAGAAAAGTTTAAAGCCATCAGGTGCTCAGTTTAGAAAAAAGAGAAAAGGAGAGGAGAAACAAGCAAAAGATACAGGTAAGCAGATGTGTCCTGTAATGACACATCTGACACATTTTTGGTAATCTCAGTCTCTCACTAAATGTGCTCCTGTGACTTGCCAGGACGTCATGGAGTGGGTGGGAGGTATTATCCATGATTGTCCTTATCTTGGACAACATCTGCCTCTCAGACACCACCCTAACAGAGTCCAGCTCCATCCCTAACACATTACTGGCCTTGTGGATCAGTTTATTTAGTCTGTTGGCATCTGTGACCCTCAACCTGCTGCCCCAGCATGCAACAGCATAGAGGATAGCACTGACCACAACAGAGATACAACAAGATAACATCAATTAGTATGGATAGTGAAAACTTCTGTTTACATTTGTAAGCCACTTGGCTATGATAGTAAACAGTAGACACTGATGCAGCTTACTGAATCCTTTGGACTGTGTTCAGCACAATAGTAATTAGTCATTAGCCAGAGGGAGTGTTTGCCCAGGGTGCCAAACAGGCTTGGACCGCCACTGTCGGGACTTATATTTCTGACGTGATCTCCTCCTTTTTGCCCCTGGTACCGGGGGCGTGGGGCTTAAGTGGTTTAAGCTGCCAGCCACGCTAGTTTCCGATCCTCCTTCAGTGGCACAGAGTGTAGTGCGTAGGGTGGTGGGCACAGACAGGCCTTTCGAAGTTGTTGATGCTCAAGGCAAAATGTTTCTAACGTTGAACCCGAGCTCATCCTCGAACAGATAAAGCCGTAAAACATTAGCAACGACTGAATGCTGGCTCTCGCTTTGAGTAACCGGAAGTATAAGACCGGACTGCAGAAGTAGTGGTCTGTCATGGCAGCCTACGTACGCTCTTACAGAAACCTGTGGATAAGGAAACACAACACATTAAGTCGTGGCTCAAGAGCTGGCAGTTCATCTTGTAATCGGAAGGTTTCCAGTTCGAGCCCCGGCTCCGACAGTCTCAGTCGTTGTGTCCTTGGGCAAGACACTTCACCTGTTGCCTACTGGTGGTGGTCAGAGGGCCCGATGGCGCCAGTGTCTGGCAGCCTCGCCTCTGTCAGTGCACCCCAGGGCAGCTGTGGCTACAATGTAGCTTGCCATTATCAGTGTGTGAATGTGTGTGTGAATGGGTGGATGACTGAATGTAGTATAAAGCGCTTTGGGGTCCATAGGGTCTAAGTAAAGCGCTATACAAATATAGGCCATTTACTTTAATGTCGGTCATAAGGGTGGAACTTCAAGAGCCACTGTGACTTGCAGGCAGCCTGCAGACACAGGGATTGTTTTCTTTGTGTATGTAACCAGTTGAAGGTCAGGTGGTTTTAGTGGCGTATCACTGAAGTGCTCTTCTTAGATGTGGTTAGGCAAGATAGAAACTGCAGAACCTGTGTCCACAATCAGTTCAATGTCCTTAGCTGATGAGGTAGGTGTGCTCACATTTATGCTGCATTGCAATCCTTTTGATGCATAAGAAGGATCTGTTAAGTAAAGGGCTGAGTTTTGGTAAATGGACTTCCCGTACATCTCTTGTCTTGGATGAGCAGCAGACACAAGCAAAATGTCCAGTTTTATGACACAGTTTACAAGTAGCTTTGGCAGCAGGACACTGTCAAAAGTTGGCTAAATGACTGTTTGAACCACATCTAAAACAGTTCTTAGATGGTTTTGTTGCATGAGATGGCTTTGCAGGGTGAGCATTGTATTTGTGTTTCCTCTGCATGGAGTATGAGTGAGACTGCACAGCTTGGACTGGAGTACTGCTGTTTGCAGCTATGGATTTAGCTTGTTGAACTGCAGATTCCATTTGTATTGCCAGTGTAACGGCTTTATCTAGTGTCAAATCAGGTTCAAGCAAGAGTCTTTCTCTTATGCTGGGGCTAGACACATGTTCAACTAGCTGATCATGGATCATTTCTTCTGTCCTGTCATCAAACACACACATTTAGAAGCAAGGTTCCGCAAGCTGGCCACATACTGGATAACAGTCTCATGTGAAGCTTGTGTTCGCTTTCTGAAAGCATGTCTTTCCACAACAACATTTACCTTGGGTGAAAAGTGTTCTTCTAGGGCAGTAACAGCAGAGGCGAAGGTATCACCTGTATTTGGCAGTGAGTAGAAAATCCTCTGTCCCTCTGTTCCTAAGCAGTGGAGTAAAGTAGCTCTTCTTCATGCTTCATTCCCTGTTGCAGTGATCACAAGCAAATAATTGTTGAACATACACATCCACATGTTGAAGGGCAAAGCAGGATCTCCAGGGCAAGGCAAAAACATGGGCTGTGGATGGACGTTTGCAGCCATGATGACTCAGCAAAAAACTAAGCTGAAAAAACAGGCAGGGTTACTCGTCGCCAAAATGTAGCAGCGGCTGGTAATAAACCAGTCCTCATCAAGGAACAGTGCTCTTTAATGAATTCAGCACAGACTTGACATCGTAGAGGTAACAGGGAGACACATCAAGTTATCAGTTAGCCATCTTAACTATATTCTAACTCTAAAATTTTACCGACTCCACTTTTCTCTTATTTCGCGACACCGCCCTCTAGTGGTGGTGGTACAATCATTACAGGACACAACAACAGTCTGGAGTGTAGAAGGAGTAGAGCAGTGGCGAGAGGACACATCCCTGTGGTGCTCCTGTGTTGATGGTGATGCTGTTAGAGACGCATCTACCCACCCTCACCACCTGAGTTCTGCCAGTGAGGAAGTCCAACACCCATGCACACAGACGGCTGTTAAGTCCCAGATCCCTGAGCTTTGTGAACAGTCTGCTGGGCACTATTGTGTTAAACGCTGAACTGTAATCAACAAACAGCATTCTCACATAGTTAGCCTATTTCTTGTCCACGTGTCTGAGGGTGGTGTGCAGGACGTGGACGATGGCATCCTCTGTGGATCTGTTGGGTCGGATCTGTGGTGTCTGGGATGGAGGAGGAGATGATGTTCTTCAGCAGCCTCTCGAACACCTTCATCAATACCGTTGCTGGTGGGCCCTGTGAGCTAAAGTGGTGAACAGAAGACCCAAATATACTGAAAGTGGGCTTGCACCTTGAGGTCCTCTAGTGGCTGCTCTGTGTATTTGCATAAACATGCATATACAGTAGCAAGACACAGCGTCTTGATAGACTCTGCCACACACTGAGCAGAGCCTGTCATGAAAATTGGTGCTAAAGTTTTGGTAAGTGAAATTCTTCATTCATTTTTTCATTAGTTTGCGTCAATGGCCAGCGATAAACCCATGCAGCTTAAAGATGCAGCTTAAAGATGCAGCATGCTAACCAAGCTTGCTGCTGCACATTCTGAGGCACATATGGTCACTTCTGGCTCTAAGAAGCATGAAACAAAAGGTGAATGTGACTATAATGATGATCAGTAAACACTTCTACAAGTTACATGTGTGTAATAAATACTAATTTAACTAATTGAATGGTTGTTATCTATGTAAATAAACAGAGGAGTAGCACAGAAAAAAATATTAGTACAAATTATGGTTATAAACCTGTGTTCAAATAAACAGATGGCACAATGGTCTGTATTTGTTTTTTAAAAAAAGACTGTGTTGGCTTAAATGGCAGCAAGTTGTGCATGGAGTTTAAGCCAAGAGCTCACTGAAGTTGGCTTAATTTGCAGAATAATATATAGAAAAACTCTGAGTGAATAAAAATCTTGGACCATTTGCTTGATCTGCCTTCAAATAACAGAAGCAACACATCTGCCAAGCTTCGGATTTCCCCACATGCAGGAGTCATGTGGTAAGAGACACGATCAGTTTAGAGACAGTCTGGAGGATCATTTTCTTTTCAAAGTGCAAAAAAAGGCCTGAGGTAGCCTATTAGGGATGTCTGCTCATACTGACATCATCAAGAGCCGCAAATAGAAAAAAACTGTCTGAAGAAGAGCTTTAGGCTCACTTCTTTAACTCTTGCTGGCCTTGTTATTTGAATCTTTAGACATTTTTAAATGGAGATAAACTGCTAGTAAACGTATATATCTAACTGAAAATAAGGAAAAGCATAATATGTCCACTTTATATGACTTAACCACTGCAAGAGTAATATTGATACAGACTGTTGTACTGTATAATTTAAACAGTGCATTTGAAACCAGACACAGGACCCATAGGTACTAATAAACTCAGGAAGTTCGCATTAATGTCCTCTTTTATTAGTCCACTTATCCCTCTGATGGCTTTCTACACTGCACCCATATAACCTTTCAAACTTTACATCTCAGCCCTGCGACAGACTGGCGACCTGTCCAGGGTGTACCCTGCCTCTCGCCCTATGACAGCTGGGATAGGCTCCAGCGCCCCCCGCGACCCTGAAAAGGATAAGCGGAAGCGAATGGATGGATGGATGGACTTTACATTTTCATATTTACCAAGCACAGGATGCAAGCACTTTATGTTTTTGTCTCTACCGTGCCTTGTACTTTACAGGTGTGAAAATTAAATCTGATTCAACTTGAGTGGAAACAAACGTAGCGGGAACAAGCACAGCGGGGAATCCACAGTCCCATTAGAACGGTATTTTGGAAATAACTTGCTGTCTAACTGATCTGCTGACACACAGAAAATGCACAAAAATGGGTTCTGTGACGGAAGACTCATTTGTGAAGGAATTGATTTGAAACTGTTTGCAGTGAAGAAACTCTGCTAGGTTAAAAATCATAATGACAGCTGAATTTAATTCAGTTGCATCAGTTTGTGGGTGCATCAGGTTCGCCAAGGGCTTTGTTAAATACTACTTTTAACAAGTTCCAAGCATCTGAGGCTTTCCTTGATTTAGCATCAATGATGATCACGTGCAGCTGTGTTTTCTTTAATACCGCTGAAGAGAAGAGAAAGTGTGATTAGGAAAAAAATAACTACTCAGTGCAGACTATTGCAAAATTACATAAAGTGATGCAAAAAAGTGCAATAAGACAAAAGGTAACAACAAAGAAACCTCCTACAAAAATAATCACACAGAGACGCAAACAGCCACAGGAAGAAGAAGGAGTTGGGATTCTGACTTTTTTTCCAAATTCCCACTCTAACCTCGGAATTAGGAGATTGTCTTCATAATTATCATAATCTCAGAATTCTAAGGAGGAAGATCAGAATAATGAAATTAAAGTGAGAATTTTGAGATTAATCTCAAAATTCTAAGGAAAAAAACAGACTTCTGAGATTAAAGACAGAAATATGAAAAAAAATATCATAATTCTGACTAATCTCAGGTTAATTTTTGAGATTAATTGTGAGATTAATCTCCAAATTATGAGATTACAGTAAGAATTATGAAAAAAAATCAACCTGTTTTTTTCTCAGGTTTCTGACTTTAATCTGAGAAGAAATCAGAATTAGAAATGAAATATGGGGGAAAAAATTTCAGAATTCTGACTTTAATCTCAGAATTCGAAAAGAACCCAATGAATTTTTTTTCATTGGGTCTTTTCTTTTGGTCATTTTCTTTTTTTTTTTTTTTACTTTTTTGTGTTTAAAAAAAGATAAACTCATGCCCCAAAATGTAATGCAGGAAAATAAAATAAAATAAAGTTAAAAATCAAAATGGAGTTAAATTATAAGGGGCTAAGAAGACCGTGCAGTCACTATAGATTTTGATGCATAATGCTGCTTTCAGCCAGGAAAGGTGGAAGGTAAACCTACAAATGTTACAAATGTCTTGGCATTTCTTCGGAAATCGTGCACTTTAGGCAACAAAGTGCTGAAGTACTTTTTCATGCAATGGCTAACTCTAAATCAGGCATTTGTCTTGATTAACCTCAGCATCCTCGCCTCCTGCGCCACTGCTGTAATTAAAGATGTCCCACTGTGATTAGTAACATTTCATTATTTACTGAAAATCAGCACAGTATGAATTTAACTATATTCTTAATTGGAGGAAAATAAAACAAACTAATGATAGATGCACAAATTGGGAATTGTATGGTTGGTGAGAACTGAAAGTAGGAATAAATAATGAAGATAAATGTAGCAATTAGAACTGCAGGGGAACAGTGTTAAGATTAAATACAGATTAATTTGGTTTATGTATGTGTTCTCCAAAGTCTGCTGCTTCTTTGCAGGCTTCTTAAACTTCTTCCAAGAGCTTGTTAGTTAAATATCCACGTACTTAGGTATAATTGTCTGAGACAAGGACTGCAGGTAAAGTATAAAGATATCTCAGATGTTTAAAATAGCAATGTTTTCTTATTCCGTGGCATCAAATTCTGCTGCTAACAGAAATAGTGCCAGCCCAAGACAGTAATGATTGCTTGGCCTGAATGCAGTTTACTTAGGGGCACATTCGACACTGACTGACAGCACTGACTCAGCTGAGCCTAATACGAGGTTAAAGAGTTTAAGATCATTGCTGCTGTCCTTGTGGACGTCATGAATGCTGGCAACCAGTTTGGTGTCGCTTGGTGTTGCACGAGCGTGGGAGCAGGTCGCTCTACATGTATTTCATACATACAGGAGCTCGGAGATCTCCAGATGGCATAGAGGAAGATGGGACTGCTTGAAAAGATGAAACCCTCTGCAGACTGTTTTTTTTTTAATGAATCAAAAACAAGAAAGAAAGAAAGAAAGAAAGAATTCTATCTATCTTCAGACGTAAATTTGCATTTCGTCTGAATGTTGCAGCAGAAACTGTAACGTGTCTATTTTCAGTCTGACCATTCTGTGTGGTTGTATGGGGAAATCTCAGCAGATCAGCAGTTTCTGAAACACTCAGGCCAACAATCATGCCACATTCAAAGGCACTTAAATCTTCCTCATTCTGATGCTCAGCTTGAACCTCAGCAGATCGTCTTGATCAAGCCCACATGCCTAAACCCATGGAGTTGGTTTAGTCACTGATTAGAGCTTTGTGTTAGTGGCCTCTAAGTGTGTGTATATGAATATAAATGACACTGACCTTTTTCTCCATTACGAATTCATTTTTTTTTATCTTTATAAGTAAAAAAATATATTTGTGATTAATTGCTTGATAAAAAAGCAAAACTGAAAAGCTGAAGGTTGTGCAGTATGGGCTCCTGGATATTTGAATTTCTTTTCAACCTTTGACATTATCTGCAAAGTGAATTGAAATCCAATACAAGCAGGCCAGTGAGTGTTTATAGAGATAAAAGCTTCATGTGCTCAATGAGGGCGATTGTACCGATAATAAATATGATTAGTCTCATGGAAACTAGCCAGCTCATCAACTATGAATCAGCATAATACATTTTTAATGGAGGCAACAGTTTACTGTAACAAATAATAACAAATCTGGGAAGAGAGGCTGAGGGTTTAACATGCTCTTTGTATGTATGGTTAGTGGGAGGCAGAGTCATGGCAACATTCATTAATCGTTCACATCCTGTCAGGAAGTGATTTATGATCTGCACATGAGACCTCTTACACAACCCGATGTGTAAAATAAATGATTGATGTCAACAACACTAAAGCAAGGGCCTCAATTCGCTGCAGATGTAGCACTTATTGGATATTTCCGTGTAGCCATGGT